ATTAATTTGTAAAATTATAAAAAAATTTTGAATTAATAAAATTCTTTTAATTTAATATATATTTATTTTATATTAAAAAAATCAAATTAATTTGTGAGATTTTGTAATAGATCAAAATAAATCCATTTTAAAAATTCTCAAATAAAATTTAAAATATTTAAATGAATGAATTATGAAAGATAATTATTAAATAACAGATTGAAAATATTATTAAAATTTTTGTTTTTTTAATGAAATTCTTCAAATTAATTTAAATTTATTTTTAAATCCTTTATTTTAACTCAATTTAATCATATTTAAAATGACATCTAAAATCTAAATGTTTAGCTTTATTTCTTCTTCTTCTCCATTTCTAAAAATTTTGAATTATAAATTTTTTTTGAACAAAAATTTACATTAATTTTTCTTCATATTGTTTAAGAACACAAAAAAAAAATAAAAATTTATTCTTTTAACTAATTATTTTAACTAATTACAAAATATTAATATTAATATTTTTGTATAATAAGAATTGTTTTCAATTTTTATATAAAATATAATATTTGAAATTGCACAAATATTTTAATATTTGTATAAATTAACAAAAAAAAAAGGAAAAATAAATTTTTGATTTTTTTTTTTTGTTTTTTTGAAATTTAATTTCAGTGAGTAAAAATAATAACAAAAAAAAATAGTTTATAAAATAAAATTTATAACATGGTAACATAAAATTTCTTGGTTACCCAGCATTTACACGTACAAGTTACTTGCAAGAAAGTTGCAATACATACAAAAATTTTACTAACACATTCAAATATTTCTACTTGCTTGTTTACTTGCAGTTCAACTTGCAAGAAAATTTTGCTGCCAGTAATTTGAGCAAGTAATTTGACATATTGAGAAATTCACAAAAAAAAATTTGTTGTTTTGATTTTTTTTTTTTTTTTTAATTTAAAATTTTTGAATTTTGTTTTGAAAAAATTAAACTTAGCAAACTTATGGTTTCTAAAATTTATAAACAATTATATATATTGCTAGTTGTTTTCTTCTCAAAGACATTTTCAAAAATTAACTTGCTAAACGCCTACGTCATAATAGCAAGTAATTTGACATTTCGAAAAACTAATTGACAATTAATATTATACAAACTTGCTTGCAAGTAACTTGTATGTGTAAATGCTGGGTTACAAAAAAAATATTTTTTTAAAAATTTAATATCAAATTTAGATTATTTGGAATATTGAATTTGATCAAAATTAAATGGTAATGTTTGTTGAAAAAATATTAATTTTATTTTAATTTTAAAATGTTCTAATTTAAATTAGTACAAAAATTCACAATATAAAATTTAATATTTCTAATTTAAATTTAAAATCTTCTGATTTAAAAGCAAATTAATACCAAAAAATACGCAGTATAAAATTTGATATTTCTATTTTTTTCAAAAATCTGATCTTGCAATTAATTAAAAATTTAATAAAAAACAATTTTATTTAATATAAAAAAATAGCCATGCAAATTTAAATTGTAATATGAAGATAAAAATTTATCAAAGATAGAAAATTAAATTAAATATTGTGCTATTTGAATTTTAAATGGGTTCCAAAATATAAATTTCATTTGAATTTTTATTACAAAAATTAAAAAAAAAAGAAAATATTCTATTTAATTACACAAATATTATTAATATTTTTATTTATTTAATTTTTTTTTAAATGTATATATTTTTTCATTTTTCTCTTTTTTTTTTTTTGTAAAAATATTTTAGACATTTTTTTACACAATTTTTTTTTTTGTTTTGTATTTTTCTTTTATTATTTATTTTATAATAAATATTTTTGTTTTTCATAATTTCTTTAAAATTTTAAATTTTTTTACTTTTGTTTTCGGTACAAAAAAATTTTTATGTATATTTTAATTATAATTTAATAAAATCTCTAAAGGTTTTTTTAATTTATTTTAATTTTGTGGTCTCTTAGTTTTTTTCTTTTTCATTTTTTTTTTTGATTACTAGTACAAATTTTATTATTTTTCATTTAATTTTTATATAAAAAATTTATTTTTTTACTTTATTTCTTTCCATATATTATTATTTTTGTTTTTATTTAAATATTTTATTTTTTATTATGATCAGAATTATTTATAAAACCTCATTATTTCATATGATTTTTGTTTTTTTTTAGATATTTTCCTCATAAATGGTCTTTTACGTGAATTAGTAAACTCAAGCTGTTATCACAAAAATTTCTAAATTTAAAAAAATTTTTTGATAGAAAATTTATTAGTTTTTAAATTAGCTTATACCAATTTTATAATAATGACAAATAAATGATATGATTTCATGTATTCGAAATTTTAATTTAGAATATTTAATTTTTGGATAAGCATATTAATTTTATAAAAGAAAAATAAAAATTTGTACAAAATTTGAATTTTTTTTTTTTTGGTTTTACAAATTTTATAAATTTTATAAATAATTAAAAAGGATAATTGAAATTTCTGTTAAAATTATGTGAGAATTTAAAAAAAAAATGGGCTTTAGTTTATAAATTTAAAGTAAAAAGTTTTTTCTTAAATTTTGCAGTTGACTTTATAAATTTTGCAATTGAACTCTGGAAAAATTAATTAATGTTTGATTGCAAAATTTTATTTTATTATTTGAATTCATATAAAAAATTTTCAAAATTCAATTTTTCTATTTTTCACAGTCTTAAACTCAAAATGTATGCTCGTATCAATTTAATCAATAAATTGATAAAGAAAATTAAATTAATAATTAATTTCGAGTTTACAGCCAAAAGATTAAAGGATGATATCCCAATCTTAGCCAATATATAATATTAATAATTATAGTTAATTATACATAGGATAAATCTATGTGTTAAAATTTTAAAAACAGTTGTAAATACTAATTCAGATTAAGACCTTTTTTTTTTGGTTTTTAAAAAAAAAAAAAAAAATTTTATTATTTCATATTATATGTTGTTTAATTTTCTTTGTATTTTATTTAAATTCAAAAAAAAATTAGTTTTCTATTTTTTGTTTTTTCATATTATTTTTCCGAAAAAAAAATTTCCTTAAAAAATACTTATTTTTTCTTTTATTCTTGATGATATTTTTAATGTTTTTGTTTTTATTATGATTTTGTTTTGTGTATTGTGAGTGTGTGTATATATTATCTAAATTTACTTATGTAATTTTAATCCTATACTAAAAATATTTATTTTTTTATTTTAATATTTTATTTTGTTTTTTAAACTTATTTTCCCTTGATTTTATTTAATATTACTTGCATATATATTTACATTTTATTTATATTGTATAATATTATGTATGTATATAATTTTAAAAAAAAAATTTTGTTTTTATTTTTTTTAATTTTCTATAATAAAAATTTTCATTTATTGGATTAAAATATATTTATAATTATTTTATTATAAATGATTTTTAATTTCATTTTATCCCGTCTGTTCGAACTTTTTTTTTTTCAATATTCATTTCATTATTTTTTACACAATTTTTTCTTGTATAATTTATATGTATATAATATTTAAAAAAAAAAAAAAAAAACAAAATTTGTTCATTTCATAATCTTGTGGAATCTAAATTAAATATTTAGTGGGTATTTTTGTTTTTTTTTTTTTGAGAAAAAAAAATCTATTTCTTTTCTTTACTTATGTAACATGTATTTTTTTAAAAATTTCCTTTAATTTTTTTTTTTAATTTTTTTAAAAATCATAAAATATTTAAGCATATATATATATATATATTTGTGAAAAAAAATACAAAATTTTATTCAATACCAAGTTCAATTAATCAAAATCATTTTTAATAAATCAATTCAATTTGTTTAATATTTTAATAATATAAAAATAAAAAAAAAATAGTCATGTATTAAAATAAAATAATATTAATTTTTAAAATGCAATATTGTCAATTATTTTAAAAAAAATATTAATAATAATAATAAAATATAATTAAAAAATTAATTAAAAAATTTGATTTTTAAAATTATATGCCATCTATATCGTCTTAAAATTAAATATTTAAATTTAAATTTTCAATTTTACAAAATTATTTCGATTATAAATTGGAATTTAAAATGAATTTTATTAAAAAAAAACAAAACAATGCTTTTTTAAAATATATAAGAAAATCAAGGAAATAAAAAATTGTTTTGAAAGAAATTTCTTATTTCTGTACTAATGGTTAAGTAGTATAAACACAGAGTGTGTCTATTAAAAAAAAACAAAAACCAATATAAATGAATTAATAATTTAACTTAATAATTTAATAAATTAATTAATATTGTTAATTAAACAAATAATTTCAAATTAATTTTAAATTTTTAATAAGATCTATTTAATACACATATATAAATGTAAATAAATAAATTTTTATTTTAAAAAATTACTATTTTTAACAATACAAAGAGAACAGTTTCAAATTTATATAATATAAAAAATAATATAGATTTATATAATTTTAAAATCATATCAATTTTCTTATTATATTTTTAATTCTTGTCTAATTATTTATTATAAAAGAAAAACAAATTAAATTCAAATTCTTTTCACAAATATATATAATATATATAAAGCAAATATTTATGTTTTCATTTTATTAATTAAAATGACTGTTTAATGTATAAAAAAAAAAAAACAACTAATATAATCAAAATAATTAATTTAGCTATCTAAAATAAATAGTTAAATATTAAAATATTGAAAAAATTCTTAATTAATTAAATTTTTTTTTTTCATTTGTTTTTTTTTTCCCATTTTTTTTTTTTCGTTTTCTTTTCAGTTTTACATAAGCATACATTATATTTTGTATATATAAAAATACATTTATTCATATTATATACATTTACATTATATACTAAAATATTTTTTAATTAACTTTTCTCGTATTTTAATTCATCTTTTTTTTTTTTTTGATATTATACTTAAAAAGTAAACAAAACAGAAGAGTCAATCATTTAAAAAATAATTTAAAAACAATTTATAAAATAATTTTATGCATAAATAATTAATTTTTGTTTTTTTCTCGATAAGCCAATATATAAAATATTTTCATTATTTTTTTCCATTTTTTTTTCTGTTTTTCTTCTTCATTTTCTAAAAAATAAAAATTATATTATTAAAAACATTAAAAAATAAAATTAAAAATGTTATTTAATTAAAAATTGTTTTCCCGTGTTTTTGTTTTTTTTATTTTTTTCCAATAAATTTTTTCTTAATCTTTAATTTTCTTAAATTTTCTCTTCTTCATTATCAGCAATAGTAGTATTTGTATTTATAATTTCGGGGGAAATTTTATTATTTTTAAATATTGATGAACATATATTCCCAATGTTACGTTTTCATATTAATATCATTTGAATTGGGCGGACTTCCAGCTTTAATTGATAATTGTTGTTGTGATTGTGGTGATTGTAATGTTAATGTTGTTGTTGTTGTAATTGTTAATTTTGGTGGTTGTTGTTGCTGTTGTTGTTGTTGTTGTAATTGTGTTAACGTTGGTGATTGTTGTATTGATGTTTGAACTGTTTGTATTTGATTATTTTGATGATGATTTTGTTGTGCTTGTTGTTGTTGTTGTTGATTTGGTTGATGTTGTTGTTGTTGCTGATTTTGTTGTTGCTGTTGTTGTTGTTGTTGATTCGTTGAATGATTATTTAATTGATTATTTGAATTACAAAGAACACTATATACAGAATCAACTTTACTTAATTTTTCAAATAATGGTATTAATTCAAGTAATTCGGAATCAGTTACATCATCAAACCATGATTTGACGGGAACCTTAAATAATTGAAAAAAAAAAAATAAAATAAATTTCCATTCAATATAAAATTTTAGTGTATGTACAATTATAAAAAATATAAAACTCAAATGGTATTAATAATATTTTAGAAAATTTAGAAAATATATTTATAACTTACTGCATTATCTGGATGAAAAATATAACTAGCTGGTGAATTATCAACAATAACAATTTTTTGTAAATCACGTCCCAAACGATTTAAATCTTTAATATAATTACCCCTGTAATATACACAAGATTCCCTAAACAGTCTTGCACGAAATACATTCCATCTATTATTATTATTAATAAAAATCGAAAAAGAAAAATATAAATAGAAAAAAAAAAAATTAATTTTAATTCATTGACATACAAAATTTTATAACTAACCTATCTAATAAATCAGCAACTGGATCAGCATATTTGGCTAGTGACGCTGTAAATAATACACATTCATATAATTCGCCCATTTTCATTAAAAATTCATCCACATGTGGTCGTTTTAATACATAAACTTGATGTATAACGCCATCTATCTCTACGGGTACTATAAAATCAGCATTTGGAATTGGCTAAAAAGAAAAAAAATAATAAAAAAAATTAATAATAAACATACATATAATTATTTATACTTATAAGTATATAATAATATATAGTTTATAATAAAAATATTCAAAAACATAATTAATTCAGTACAGAAAAAAAAAGGTATATTGTAATGTATAAAATAAATAAAGGTAAAATAAAAAAAAAAAATTCCTTTTAGAAAAAAAAATACAACATTATTATTAAATTTTTTTCACACAAGGGAGAAACCACTTTGTTTTAAACTAATTAATTAAAAATTATAAATATGTGTAAAGGTTAAAAAGGTGTTTCATTTTTTTTTTGTTTTTTTTTATAAAATGTCCTTCAAATTTATCCTTTACCTTGTAATAAAAGTTTATTTCAGTTTAATGATAAAGGAAAAAAAAATTTAGTTTACTCTAATAACAATAACACAAAATTTAAAATGTGTTATGAATTTTGAATTTAGATCTGAATAAATTTCTTTATTAATCATAATTTACTCCATTTACTCCATTGGGTTCGGATTAAACGAATTTTTCATATAATGGTTACAAATCAATTTATATTACAAAATTTATTATTTAAATAGGATTTCACAATAATGCCAAGAATAGAAGACAATTACAGTCGAACATATTTATTTGCAACAAGCGTTTGAACGAAACTCCTTTATTATGGGGATATATGCAATTTTAGCCGAAAGAGTATTTCATAAAAGAGTGATCGACTCTATTAACCAAATTATTTTGGAAAATTCAACCCAATACAAATCAATACAAAAAATCTATTATAGTCACCTACACAATATAAGAAATTAAATTAAAATAACAATATGGGAAAGCCTATAAATTTCAAAATTAAAAATACATATATACTTTTATGAAATCAATTTTGAATCGAATGAGCTGATTTTTTTCAAAGTGATAAGTGTTCATATATTGAGATATTTAAGAATTTACGTTTGAATTTAAAAATATTGGTTATAATAAAATAATTTGTTTATTTCATGTTTAAGCAGAACTCTATTGAAATTGTGATTGTAACTGTGGAGAAAAGATGTCTAAAGCTCATCAAAATTACCATTAACTTTGTCTTTTTAAAAAGTGAACTTATAACATTTTGAAAAAAATCTGGTCAATTAATTAACATATAAGTGTGCTGCCACTATAACAAGTAAAATTTTGTATTTAATTTAATGGAAATAATTTAAAATAATAATAATATATAAAATCCGTTTAACACACTCGTATTAAATAAGCACACATAAATATATTATTATTGTCCTTCATTTATTTTCAATTTATTTAATTTAATTTTAATTCTTGTCTATTAAGTACATAAAATATACATACTGTAGTACATATACAAATATAATTATATACTGTTGCTTATATAAGTAATAAAATTTTTTACTATATATTTCAACCTGTTGCTTTTAAATTTTATTACAAAAAAAAAAAAAAAATTATTTTTAATTCATTTTGCCTACAAATACCTACAGATTGTATTTTTATATTAAAATATATAAGTAAATTTGAATATCAATTTGTATGTGTATATGTAAACATGTCAGAAGTGTCATTTATATGTACACATGTTGCAAATGAACAACATTTTTTTTTTAATTTCCTTCCCCTTTTTACATTTATTTTATTATAATAAAAATGTCCTTGAAAATTTTATTTAGCCTCCACATATTATAAATACATATGTTGAATAAGAAAAAATACAAAAAAAATTTGTTACATACATGCAATAATAATAATAATTATTAAGAGCATAGTGTCATTTTGTCGCGACAAAGCGACAATATAATATACTACAAAGTAACACGTACATTTTGATTGATCTTTTCATTTTTTTTTTTGTCACACTTGCTTCTGTGATTAATTTTAAAAACACTTTTATCTTTAATAAAAAAAAAAACAATTTTTTCTTTTATTAAATAATATTAAAAAAAGAGGTGATAAATATTTTGCTACCTTGGTTGTTATTAAAAAAAAAAATTTTTTCCACCTAAAAGGACAATTTAAACAGGAGATTTTCTTTGTATACACAGAAAATGCAAAAAAATAAATATAAAATGTTATTGAAAATTGACTTGATCATTAAAAGAAAATTTCAAATATAATTAAAAATAATTAATTATTATTATTGAAATAAATGGAAAATAAATCAGAATAAATTTTAACTTGTTACCATATTTTAATTTAAAAAAAAAAAAAAAAAATTGCATATTTTCGGGGGCACTAAATTTTTTTTTTTTGCAATAAATACGTGATCTGTTGAATTTTAATATTTTTAATTAAATTGAATTACTTTCTTTTCAATTAATCAATTGTATTAAGAATAACTTTTGATACAAAATGAAAGCTATTACATTGTACGAATATATTTAATGAGTTCGAACCGAATAATTAATTTAATATTAGCAATTTCGTCTGGATTTACATAATAAATAATTTACATACAAATACAAATAACACCATAATTTTATAAAAATATTTAATTTTTATTAGGTACGCAATTTAATTTCTATTGAAAAATATTTTTTGCAAATTATGGAAAGAATTTCTATTCCGTGAAATTGCAGGAACCATACCAAATAAATACTTAATATTTTTTTCTTCTTTTAAATAATAATTACAAAATTAAACTTAATTATTAAAATATTTATTCTATTTAGAAAATATTTAACTATATAAAAACGGAATTTAAAATTTTTTCTTCAAAAGGAAATTCTTTTGTTGAACAGTTCATTTTAAGTTCAGATATTTTAAGTATTTTAATTGAAGAACATTGGAATGTTAAAGGAAATATTGCGTTCGGAAATAATTTACATTTCTTATAAAATACTTAAGTACTTAAATTATTAAATTCCGGAAAGCCGGAAAGGAAAATATATAAGATTAATTATAATGATTTTTATTATTTTTATTCTAGGAATATATTTTGCTTTCTTTTGAATTTCTATACAAAAATGTCTTCAAAAGGAAAATAATATTATTTTAAATATAAAATTATGAATATTATGATTAATAGATTAAATATTTATGAATTATTTATTTTTCTTTGAAATTAGATAATTTGCTTAATTGATATATAGATAAAAAAGAATTTAATTTTAATTATATATTTGTATATAAAAACATGTAGAATTTCTTTAACAATAAAAATTTTTATTAAATATTTTCATGTATAAACTTACCTTAAAACTACTATGAACTAAAGTTTCATCCAAATCTATAACCATACATTTTCTATGCATATCTGAATGCTTAACAGCCGGCAGTAAATAACGTTGTTGATCTGGTAATGGTGGAGGTGTTGTTGAACCATCAATTGGTGTACCATTTTGATTTGTTTTCGTTCTAGTTCGTCGCCAACAACATAATATTGTTTGAAAAAATCCCCTTTTAACTGGTTTTAATCGTTCTACATCATCTGGAAAGATTATAAAAAAAAATAAATTAAATTTTATTAAATTTGTTTTATATTTTCGTTTTAAATATATTTACAAGATAATTTTATTTTAGGATGACAATTAGTATTTAAATATTAAATATTTGTCACTGTCCAAAATATGATTTCGATGTGATGACAGACTGCACATATTCAGGCATACAATAGGCTATCTTCCATTAGACTAATAACTGAATTACTTTAATTTCTATTACATTAAGATTTTACATTCTTATTATGTCTTTCTTTGACCAGAAACCAATGTCATATAGGTGTAAATTTAATTTTTTTTAAGAAATCTTTATCGATTTTATTTAATCTTAATGCATTTTATTGTTAAATTTGTATTAGTTTTAATGTACCCCAAGCGACCTAATATTGTCCATATCATAAGTATGGCAATTAAGTAACAAAACATTAAATTCAAAATTATTTAATGTAATTTTCTTCTCAACATCCTATAGTTATCAGTTTTGTAATTTCTCATCTCCACTTTTTTGAAACATAACATTATACAGAAAATCAAACTTTTTATATAAAATTTAATAAGTATAAGAGAGCAAAAGAATTTATTTTCTCTAAAAAAATAAAATTAAGGAAGAGAAAACACACGAATAATAAAAACAATTAAAAAAGAACAAAAAAAAACACAAGAGTGTAACTTGTCCCATAATTGCAGGGTTAAAAGTAACAAGAAAAAAAAACAGAGAAAATTTTTTGTTAAAAAATCGAGAATGGAATAAAATAAGAGAAAATTAAAAAAAGCAAAAAAAAAAAATAAAAGGAAGCTTAAAAAGCTTTTAGTTAATAGTTTTATTTTAATTTCAATTTTCAATTTATTCTACTTGTGTCCTTTTACTACACGTACCTTTTTTTTTAATTAGCAATAGCACTTAACCGTACATTTGTATTTATAGTTGTATGCTCCTTATACAATATCAGAGTGACAACGAACACAAAAACAAAAAAAAAAGCAAAACTGTTAACTTGAAAATTATTTCATAATAGGGTACAGAAAGGCAAAAAAAAAAAAGGTACTGAAAGATCATTTTTAAGAAATATATGTGCAGGTATGTGTAAAGAAAGGTGTTCAAATTCATAGTAATAAAATAATTTAATTAAAATTATCAAAGTTGAAGGTTATTTCTTTTGTTTTCCTTATGCTCTGGAAAATTTTTGTTCCCCAGTTTATGTGTTTGTAAATTTCATAACATCTTTTTTATTAAAATTTTAAATGTTATTGACATTCATTCTCTTTATTATTCAACATTAAATTTAATCTGTTCGTCTTTCTGCTCATACGACTATTAACAAAGGTTCTACTATCTCTAAATCATAAAGCTGAAATTTTGCTCAATCATAATCATTTTTATTAAATGGCAAGTCGTAGAACTTTTAGACGTTCATAAATAATTCATTTTGGTAAAATCAAAAACTTATTCTATTGTCCTCTTCCTTCCTCTCATTTTCCTATAGCTCATAACGATCGTTTCTTTGAAGTAACCAATTTTCTATAAAAACTACAGCAAATGTCTTTTTTTCAATAAACACAATTAAATATGTATTTTGTATTATAACTCGGTTACTAAACCATGTACAATCGCTACATTTATCATCAATATTTTTCACATCCTAAAAGTATGCAATAATTAATATATATTTATACGACATTATTAACGCAATGTAATCATTATTGAGAGAATACAATAAAACATCATTTTTTGAAAAAGTATTTTTTAATTGTTCAAAGGAAATTTGCTATTTTGCTAATCCATGTTTCGATCGGAATTTATTTTTCATTTGATACCTTTAAATTTAATTTTATAGTATTGTTGAATTTAAGTGAAAATGTGTGTATTTTAATAACTATAACTTTATTGTAGAAAGTTTTCTTTTTGAATTTAAAATTAAATTTTCCTGATGCAAAAATATATAAATTTTTTGAAAACCCGAATTAATTTCATATCTTCTTCAACAATTTAATGCAACTTCTCTATTTGTTATTCTTATTCGCTATTTTTAACTATTCACTAATTCGCTCAATACAATAAGGACATATGAAGTATATTTTCTATTTAATTAACTCGAACATCAAAAAGATATCAAACAATAATTTAATTAAGTGAGAAAAATTATATAAAACGTTTACAACAATTTCATATACCCCACACCCAACCAACTAACTATGTCATACAAAAATTCTTGTATTACGTATACAACAATAAATTAAAAATAATAACAGAAGAGTACAACAACAACAACTTGATTATTTCGCACATTGTTTTGATTTATTTATGGTACAAAATTGTAAATTGTTCTCTTAATATTTTCACTTGCCTCTTTAAATATTTTTTAAAGGATAAAAAAAAAGAAAACATACACACAAAAAATGTTTATTATTTGGTTTACGTTTCTTTTTTTTTTTGCACACAATTTGCGTGTAAGCAACATTATACCTAATATACACACAAAATATAATTCAGTGCCAGACTTCATAAATAAAATAAATAAATAAACAGAAAAAAAAAAACAAAAAGAAAAAAATTTTTTGGAAAATTTCCTTTTTATTGTATGGCAATGTAAAATTAAAATTTCTTATTAAATAAAAATCCTAACAGAGTAAATTAATATTTTTTTTGTATATTTTTTTTCCCCATTTTATGTTTATTTAAGGAAATCAAAGAAAAAAAAATTTTTTTTCAAAGGACCTAAAATTATATGCACATTTACAGACACATAGATAATATTTATTTATGGTATACTAGAGTTTTATGTCTGCACCCATGGTTGATAAATTTTTAGAGAGAACAAATTAAGGCAAAAATAAAACAATATTTTTTTTTTGTTTTGGACTGAAACACGAAGTTACAAGAAGCCGAATTAATTTGCAAAGTCAATAATTAACAGAATTTTCAGAAAACAATTTCAAGGAATTCAAGTCAAAAATAAAAGTAATGAAATATTTTTTAAAATCCATACCCTTGAGGGATTTTTAATTCAACATTTAAAAGTTCAAATACGGTTTCTATTGCAGTAACAATATGAATGCTAAATATGATGTATAGGAACAGTGCCTAAATTCACCACATAATAAGCCAAGTAAACAATGCAATGGTCGTCGGAAAATAGTTGCGCCATCGAAAACTTAACTAATTTTTTGAAAAGCGAATGGGGCGTCGAACAAATCAGAATTGGGCTTGTATAAGAATACAGGTTTTCTACAATTTTGAGCTCAACTTATTCGATTTATGCACGTTCCTTAAGTTCCTTACTGCAGTAATACAGTTTTTAAATCCGATTAAAATTAGAAATAAATTGCTAAATTTATATCAATTCTAAAATTTCTCTATACAAAATTTAAATATCGTCTTCTAATTGAAATCAAGGATTTAAGAAGAAAAAATAATTATTAGTTTTAAAATATATTTTATAAAATTTGATCGTACTAATATATATACCATTTAAAACTGATACATATAAATATATACATATATGTATATATATATATAGATATATATATATATAGATATATATATATATATATATATATATATATATATATATATATATGTATATATATATATAGATATATATATATATATATACATCATCTATATATATATATATATATATATATATAGATATATATATATGTATGTATATATATATATATATATAGATATATATATATATATACATCATCTATATTTATATATATATCTATATATATATCTATATATATATATATATATATATATATATATATATATATATATATATATATATATGTATATATCTATATATCTCTATATATCATCTACATATATATATATCTATATCTATGTATATACATATATACATATGTATATATATATATATATCTATATCTATTTTTATACATATATATATAAATCTATATCTATATATATATACATATATATATCTATATATCATCTATATATATATATATATATATATACATATATATAAAATATATATATATATATATATATATATATATATAGATATTTATATATATATATAGATATATATCTATATACATATATATATATACATATATATATCTATATGTATATATATATCTATATATATATATCTATATATCTATATATCTATATATCTTATATATATATATATATATATATATATATATATATATTTATAATATTTACATTAATAAAATTATAATTATTTTACTTAATTAATACAAATTTATAATAAAGTGAAAATATTTTATGATATATATATATATATATGTATATATCTATATATCTCTATATATCATCTACATATATATATATCTATATCTATGTATATATATACATATGTATATATATATATATATCTATATCTATGTATATACATATATATATAAATCTATATCTATATATATATACATATATATATCTATATATCATCTATATATGTATATATACATATATATATCTATATATATATATATATCTATATATATATATATCTATATATCTATATATCTATATATCTTATATATATATATATATATATATATATATATATATATATATATATATATATTTATAATATTTACATTAATAAAATTATAATTATTTTACTTAATTAATACAAATTTATAATAAAGTGAAAATATTTTTCTTAAATTAATACAAGAAATTTTTGTTCAATTGGAAAATTATGCTAAAACAGTCAACTAGTTATAGAAATATAATTTTTGCAAAAATGCTATACTCGTAAATTGTGTTAAATTCACGAATTTTATAATAAGCTCAATTCGATAACCATTTGAGAATAAAACGCCATACGATGCAATTACTAACCATATATACAGCAATATCAAACCTCAATGAATATAACACTAAATTTATAATAAACTCATAAACATTAGTATATTCTGTATACTATCTTAATTGATAACATTCTCTTCAATATATTTTTGCTTCTTTTCAAAAGTATATTTCTCAAAATCTCACTATT